GGCAAAGAAAGCATTGAGTATCTCGGCCTTTTCAGTGTCCTTTGCCTCCAGGCCTTTTGCCCCATTCAGCAGACACCTTACATTTTCCCTAGTCTTTCTTTTGCTGTCCATATGCCTGTAGAAGTCCTTCTTGTTGCCTTTCACATCGCTTGCCAAATTCAACTCCAGATGGTCTTTGGCTTTAACTTCATCCCCTTCATGGTTGGTCATTGTTTCTATACTCCTTCTGAGGCACCTGACCCTGCTTCCACCTCTTGTATGTTCCCTTTTTATGTTTGAATTTTGAACACGAGAACTCCAAAGACATAATTTCTCATGACACATAATATTTGAGCAGAGGACATCCCTACTCTTAAGCTGGTACTTATACATAGTACCACAACAAAGCTTAAAGATGTCATTTAATGTTGGAGGTGTTACCTTTCAGATGAAAGAGGAGCCCTTGCCATCTTTAAACATCCACTCACATTTAAGAACAGGGGTATTAATTCCAGTCTCCTGGCATACATCAGTAGTTGTATGCCTGTTCACATTTCCCTGCAGCTTTCACCTTAAATTCCTACTAAAGCTCCAAAAAGGACCCACACCTTACTTGGCCAGATAGTAAACAACTTAAAAAAAAATCCACATCCATACAAAACAAAGCAACTTAAAAGCATATTTTGAGATTAAGATTTACAGAAATTTATACTAAGATATAGCATCAACCAGTAAAAGGTTTGGGATGAAAGGAATTTGTAGAGAAACAATACTAACCAGACATTCATCAAGCAAATAATTCAACATACCTCTTCCTTTTGAAAGGTGACTTTGGCATGTCAGCCACAGGGATCATCTGTTCTCCTGGACGTACCCACATAATGGGACCATCATCACTGTCTTTACGACTCTCTAATTTTAAACTAGAAAGTGTTCCCCATGGCAGTGTACACTAATGGGAAATACAAGCCACAATTTTGAAGTAAGTTACTTTAAAAACTTTTTAAAAGCAGCCTTCCTCTGTCACGATGAAAACACTAGACCACTCAATTATCTAAGCAAGTACCACATACTCTCACTTTATTATAACAGTACTAGACAATAGATTGTCCCCCTTCTCCCAACCCATTCCCTTCTGTCCTTACTTTTAAGAAGGGTGATTCTTCCAACATATCAAGGAATTCAGGGAAGTAATCCCCCACTTCCTCATCAACTGCTCCAACCAGGCTGATCTGTCTCATGGGGCCAGCTCTATAGGTACCATGAGAGTATGTTCTTTTTACCTACAAGTAGAATATGACAGGTAAAAGTTATACCGAGTCCACTACTGCTCAAAGTCTACATTCAATAAACACCTTTAATCTCTATGCTTATGTTTTCTGATTGATATTAGTCCTACAGTCTTCAGTAAACTTAAGATTATTATGAAGTCAATTCTATGAACTCTCCACCAAAGACAGAAGTTGTTTAAAGATACATGACAACTTGCATTTTATTTATTTTAAAGTCTGAAGGTTAAGACTGAGTAACTATTTATTGCCTTTCAAGGAAGTAACATTCTAAAGTAGTAACTGTGAAAAGCTATTAACATGTGTTCTGTTCAGTAACTAGTAAATAAGGATTCTTACCTGGATTACTCAAGTCTAGCTGAATTTTTACCTTTTTCCTGTAACAGTTAGGCAGAACCCCAAGTTACAACTAATTAAATTCTAAACATTTCCTCTGCTAATCATCCTCTCCAGTATGGTCTCTGTGTGAGCACATTAACTGGAGCTAATTATCACAGTGAAGACAAGGCTCGTAAAGAGTTAGTACAGGAAGAGAGAGCGTGACCGTTATTCCTTCATTTTTCCTGTGCTGTGCCAACATGTCTTGTGCTCTCTTAAAACTTTAAGGGCTGAACATTCACTCCTTGTGAAAAATCTTTTATTTTGAACTTGAACAGAAACACGTATTGTTATAAGGTTTTTTCAGTAATCTGATCTGTTGTGTTACATCAACAAAATACTTAGGCATGAGATTGATGAGGATCACTTCCCCTTAAGCTTCCGACCTCCTATTTAACAGTCTGAAAGACACAGTGGTATTATTAGATGAAATATGACCAGATCAGATGAGAGGGAAGAGCAGATGGATTACTGCACAAACCAAGTAAGGCTCTTGCACTGCATCCCTAGACATTCTGCATCCAAAGCAAGACAAGAAAAAAAGGTGCAAGGAAAACAGTTAATGAAGTACTGCTTAGCTATGGTCCTCGCCCAAAGAGACCATTAAAATTCCTAGTTATTATGGCAGTGCAGAGGAGAATTAGCAGGAGTTCCTGAAAACAGGGCTAAATCATACAAGATGGAACAATATTGTGCCCTTCTGAGAAGCTAGACTGATGTAACCAGATGCATTCCGGAAGTGCAGAACCAAATACTCTTCTTCAAATCATCTCAGTCATCGTACACACCCAGAAAATAGAGGACTGACTAAAAGTAGGATTTTACAAAATGTCTGAGCTAATGTAATGGCAAGCCATCACAGCCATACTGAAAAGAGCAGTACTGCTAGACAGTAGTATTCCCCTATTCCCCAAATCCTTAGTCATACATTCCTGCACCTTTTTTGCACTGACACCTGGTGATTCTGTGATAAAGCATCAGAAAACATTCATTCATTTCTGCTGAATCTGCATCAGCTCAGTCCTCAGCTGTATCTGCACTGGCCCAAAGCTTCAGGAGCTCACACAGCTAAAGCACTGGGACAAGGAAGGGACACTCACTTGTCATTATTGGACTTGGTCTATCCAGTAAGCCAAAGCAGCCCAAAACCACTTTCTGAAGTTACAGATAGTCATAAATCTGTTACTCACAGTTTACTGATAAACATAACATGTAACAGGATGGTTCTTCCACTGGCATAAGTAGCTTAGTATTCCACCATTCCAGGCCAGGGTATTAAGCTGCTGTTTTCATCCACACTCCTGATTAAAGGGAACCATTTTTCTGCCTTTTTCCTTGCTTCCTTCTGCTACCGCTACCGTTCACATAGCATATGATAAGCTAGTTGTGGAACTACTCCAACTGAAAACTCTATAACTTCCCCAAAAAATACTAACTGAAGTGAAATTAGGAGAGGCTGTGAAGCTTTCAGCTTTCTGGCTTACGTACCACTAGGTGTTGGCAGTGAAGCATAGAGTCAGCAAAGCATTTAAGTGCAACATAATCCTTGCTTAAGGTGGATCAATTAAGAAATTTCTTATATATTCCCAAAAAGACCATGTCACTGAAAGTTAATACTGAAAGATCAACTCAAGTTTTTTAAGCATTATTTGTCCATCCCAACTCACTCCCAGCTCTCCTGATCAATTATGTTCCACTCATTCACCAGGTAGAACAGATTCCTTTTCAAGATCCAGCTTGGGAGAGGTGAAATATGAAAAATAATGCTAAGAGAATGTCAAAGTTACAAATGATGAACAGTTTCTTCTAGGACCATATTCAGAGTTGTATCATTGGAAATACACAGAATGAAACGTTTGAGCCTTTAAGAACTCTGTGGTGGGTTAACCGCAGGCAGCTGCTAAGTACCTCAACTCCTTGCTCACCCACCTGCGCCTCAATGGTGAGAGACATGAGAGAGAACAGGAAAAGAAATGAAATGCATGGGTCGAGATAAAGACAGTTTAATAAGTGAAGAAAAGAGGAAAGTGAAGAAAAGAGGAAAAAACACCAAGTTTTGCACCACTCACCACCTCCCACGAGCAGTTCGATGCCCAGCCAGTCTTAAGGAATAGCTACCTTGTGGACTAACACACACACCCCCCCCCAACCCCCTCAGTTTTCTATTGCTGAGCATGATGTTATATGGTGTGGAATATCCCTGCAGTCCATTTGGGTCAGCTGTCCCATCCACCTCCCCTCCCAACTTCTTGCCCCCCCCCAGCCTACTCGCCAGAGGGTGCAGAATGGGGAAAAAGAGAAAGTTTTGACACTGTACAAGTACTGCTCAGCAATAGCCAAAATACCAGTGTGTTATCAACAGTTTTAGTCACAAATCCAAAACACAGCCCCATAATAGGCTGCTATGAAGAAAATTAACTCTAACCTATTCAGACCTAGTATAAACAGAAAATAAATCCATGCTGGTGATGAAAAGGGAAGATCTGCTCTCTCTTTTTCCCTTCTTTCCTGCTAGCATTAGGTCTTCCGAAGGTGGGAAGGGAGCCAGCTTAGGGAACTGATCTAAATTTAATCCACAAATTACCTGAAGGTGTTTTGTTTTTTTTTTTGTTTGTTTGTTTGTTTTTGTTTTTTTCATTTTTTTAGAAAATTATATAAATAAGAATTAAATAAAGACATAGGCCATAAAGACTAATGCCTGGCCAGAAAGAACAAGAGGGAGTCTGGAAAAGGAGGCAGCTGTTGGCAGTGAAGATTGACTCCTATCTCAACTCTTCCATGGACTGGGTTATAGCATCCTAAACTCTAGACTCAAGTCAGGGGTTGCTATTTAAATGACACTATCTTAGACTAGGCTAAATAATTAGAAAAACATATATAAAAAGGTGAGGTCCTTCTTAGAAGGAAGAACTAGCTAGCAAACAAAATTAATTTTCGCACACTCCAAAATTAGACTGCTACTAAGTAATACTGTGAAGACACCAAAAACCTTCTATTGATGTTTGACCAACGACAAAAGTAAAATTAATCCTCTTAAATCACAACAAAATAAATATAATCTATGGCATATTAGATAACAGCAACATTTTCCTTTCCTTTTACTGTCAGTATCCTTTGGCTGGTTTATTCACAGGAAGAGAAAAAGACTCCTCTATGTATTTCTAAACTCACAAAAACAATGCTGGTGTACTAAAAGCAGTACTTTTTCACCAAACTCTATACATTAAATTATGCACTGACCACAAATCAAATATTACCTTTTATAAGATAATCTTCCCGAATGTAACTTTACAGGTTACAGTGTGACTGTTTTTAGAATGTTACAAATTTACTCAAATAAATAGCTGGAACAATCTAAATCCAGAATAAAAGAAGGAATCAATGACATGCAGTTCTTCGACTATGTGGTCAACGTGATCAGAATCAATACACACACACAAAAAAAATCACCAATTAAATGCAGTATAATACAATGGACAGGTAAAATAGATAGAAATATATAACTGAATAAATACGACATAGCCTAACTTCTTCTTTTGCTTAAGTTTGAAGTATGTCATCTAAAAACACACAAAAGGAGATTGTCATTCTCTTGCATCAAGGTAACGGAAAATTATGACAGTAAAATCACCACTGAATTCAGAATTAGTAAAGCTCGAGAATTATCTGCTTCTGTGACTAGTATGGGATCAACTGATTTTCTAGTGTAACTTAACTTGCTTGGTTTTAAGTAAGAAGTTCTAAATAACAAATATTTTGGCATAAACATCTTGGTATCTAAAAGAATCTGAAGACTAAATCTGAATACATGTACAATATTGACAACAATATATTTGAGCATTATCATCCTACAAATAGGAAACACTTTAGACACTATATTTTAAAGATGTTTCCTTTGCTGTTTGAAAAAGACACAAACTGGAAGAACAGTCTATAGAAACCAAGCATTTCAAGAGATTAATTTAAAAAATGTAAGCTGGGGCAAGTCACAACTGAATTCCTATTTTTAATATAGTAAAGTGTTTTCCCCAGTTAAAGCTTTAACATTTTCCTGCAAGAATTTTAAAGGCTTAAATTTCTTCCAGTTTTTCAGCTTTAAAACCAGGAGATCTGGAAAAGCAGTGCTCATAGAACAAAAAAAAAAATCCAAATCCACTGAACCCAAAATAATTTCAAGAAACCCACAAAGAAAGCCCCACCAAAGACCAACAAAACCAACAAAACCATTAAATCACCATAAAAATATGCTGGGACATCAGAGGGAATAGTGGATTTCCATTTCACTACACAAGTGCGCAAGCAATGCGCTTACACATTCGTACCTTAGAACTGAAAACATCCAGCTTCACATTCATTGTTATTCCTCTAAATCTGTTATCTCAAACGCTATAGTCATGAAGAGGCAACGTACCATTCTTTCTTATTTGGTACATTTTGAAAAAGTGCCCAAAAGGCTTTCTGTTCCTTGCCAACTCTTTTCAAGTCCTTGAAAGCTGACATCTATTTTCAGTTCCAAATGGGAACTAATACTGAAGCATCAAAATTTCACTGAACAAGTATTCATCAAAATTGCTCTGAGTTTAAAAATACTTGCAAATCTACTTGGCTACTTTTTA